AACCCAGCCCCCACTAACCCTGTTATCCTCCTCTCCAGCCTCATTAATCCAGTCATCTCTAATCCTGTTGTCCTCCTCTCCAGCCTCATGAATCCAGTCACCACTAATCATGTTGTCCTACTCTCAAGTCCCCTTTAATCCAGCCACCACTAATCCTGTTTTCCTCCTCTCCAGCCTCATTAATCCAGCCCCCCCTTATCCTGTTGTCCTCCTCTCCAGCCTCATTAATCCAGCCGCCACTAATCCTGTTATCCTCCTCTCAAGCCTCATTAATCCAGCCACCACTTATCATGTTGTCCTCCTCTCCAGCCTTATTAATCCAGCCACCACTAATCCTGTTGTCCCACTCTCCTGCCTCATTTATCCAGCCACCACTAATCATGTTGTCCTCCCCTCCAGCCTCATTAATCCAGTCACCACTAATCATGTTGTCCTACTCTCCTGCCTCATTAATCCAGCCACCACTAACCATGTTGTCCTCCTCTCCAGCCTCATTAATCCAGTCCCCACTAATCATGTTGTCCTACTCTCAAGTCCCCTTTAATCCAGCCACCACTAATCCTGTTATCCTCCTCTCCAGCCTCATTAATCCAGTCATCTCTAATCCTGTTGTCCTCCTCTCCAGCCTCATGAATCCAGTCACCACTAATCATGTTGTCCTCCTCTCAAGCCTTGTTAATCCAGCCACCACTAATCCTGTTTTCCTCCTCTCCAGCCTCATTAATCCAGCCATCACTAATCATGTTGTCCTCCGCTCCCGCCTCATTAATCCAGCCACCACTAATCCTTTTATCCTCCCCTCCAGCCTCATTAATCCAGCCACCTCTAATCCTGTTGTCCTCCTCTCCAGCCTCATGAATCCAGTCACCACTAATCATGTTGTCCTACTCCCCAACCTTGGTAATCCAGCCACCACTAATCATGTTGTCCTCCTCTCAGCCTCATTAATCCAGCCACCACTAATCATGTTGTCCTACTCTCCAGCCTCATTAATCCAGCCATCACTAATCATGTTGTCCTCCTCTCCCGCCTCATTAATCCAGCCACCACTAATCATGTTGTCCTACTCTCCAACCTTGGTAATCCAGCCACCACTAATCCTGTTGTCCTCCTCTCCAGCCTCATTAATCCAGTCACCCCTAATCCTGTTGTCCTACTCTCCAGCCTTGTTAATCCAGCCACCACTTATCCTGTTGTCCTCCTCTCCATCCTCATTAATCCAGCCCCCACTAATCATGTTGTCCTACTCTCCAACCTTGGTAATCCAGCCACCACTAATCCTGTTGTCCTCCTCCCCAGCCTCATTAATCCAGCCACCACTAATCATGTTCTCCTACTCTCCAGCCTTGTTCATCCAGCCACCACTAATCATGTTGTCCTACTCTCCAACCTTGGTAATCCAGCCACCACTAATCCTGTTGTCCTCCTCCCCAGCCTCATTAATCCAGCCACCACTAATCATGTTCTCCTACTCTCCAGCCTTGTTCATCCAGCCACCACTAAGCATGTTGTCCTACTCTCCAGCCTTGGTAATCCAGCCACCACTAAACTAGATATCCCTAATCCTGTTGTCCTCCTCTCCAGCCTCATTAATCCAGTCACCACTAATCATGTTGTCCTACTCTCCAGCCTTGGTAATCCAGCCACCACTAAACTAGATATCCTCCTCTCCAGTCTCCTTTATCCAGCACAACTAATCCAGTTTTCATTCTATACAGCCTTGTTAATCCAGCCACCACTAATCATGTTGTCCTACTCTCCAGCCACCACTAAACTAGATGTCCCACTATCCAGTCCCCTAGCACCACTAATCCTGTTTTTTCCACTATACAGCCAATGTGCATTAAATTTTACCAGTAATCCAGCTGTCTCATAGCCATCTTTGTTCGGAACCAAGGTTGCAGGATTTTCAAGGTGACATTTCATATTCTACACATACATATATAGGATCTTACATGAGTTTCCATTTCATACGATATTTATGAAACAAGTCTAAGAATTTTCCAATTTAGGCAAGCTAAAATGAAAAGTTTGTCATGAGTTTCATAAATTTCATATGAAATGAAAACGAATGTAAGATAAACGAATGTAAGATCCTTTTATCACATAATCAAGATTTAAGGCATTAATAGTGTAAAACGACAATTTCCATGCAACCTTGAAATGAAAAAAGCCGCCATTTTGACTCCAGTGCATAAGTCTGTGACGTCACATACTTTTCCTAGGCGTGATGTCACAATTGAGACAATTGAAACTTACACCCAATCACAGGGCTGATAGGTCATATTATATGGGTTAATACGCACAAAAATATGACATAGGTATATTCACTGGATAACAGAGTACATTATGTGATATATATAAATATATACAGCCATGACCTGATTTGCTATCCTTTGATTGTAAAACATATGCATTAACATCAATCAAAGTTCAAGAATACGGTCCAGATTTTCAAATTAGTACTAAAAAATAAAATCTCTTCTAAAGTATTAGTGATGAACAATTTGCAGCTGTGTTTATGAAAATGTTAAAATTTCAAATTGTGAATGCTGCACTATGTGGTGTAACAGTTTGAACAGCAACAAGGAATGAACTATTAAAAAAACAATTTGGAAACAACAAATGTTAAAGATAAGCAATGGTGATGCATCAGTTGGAACATTTTACCACTCATTTACAATGTATACATAGAACATAGAAGTAGGTTCGTGTCCCTAATTTGTGTCATTTCAGTCTACTATTTCTTACTTAGACATTTGCTCTGGGTTTTTTATAGAGTAAATCCTCAGGGAATAGCAAAATAGCAAAGTCTGTCATCAAAACCAGTTATCTTCTTTTTGTGTGAAAAATAGAACTTCCTATAAAATAATGTGTATCATTCTAGCTTTTGCTGTTTTTAATCAAATTTCAATCCCCAATATGATATGATCTGCCTGATATGTGTGCTCTGTTTTAATCTCGAGGATATTTGATGAATTAGAATGTGCCCTGGGTACGTGTTTCCCCGGGTCGTGTGCACAATCTGATATTTGACCCTGGGTCCTCCGAATCTCAGACTTGGGTGCCAGTCTCTCGGCGTACACAGGTTGATTGTTTTACCATTTATCAGGCTAATCACGTCCCCGTCATTGTTTTTACTGGATTGGGTTTCCGTATTAACTGACGTTTACCAACAGGTTGAAGATATAATGCTCCATTAGCAGATGGCAACAAATTAAATTGTGAGAATCACCCGTGTGTTTACGGAGATGCACCAGGGATAGGGCCGTTTCTCCAATGACTCACCTAGACCTTCGTGACATGATAAACACTATATACAATCCACACTCTCTATAGGTCGTACCAAAGGTACACTTACTGGAATTAAAATCTCATGAGTCTAATTGTGTAACAAAAATCTGCAAAAAAAATGTCCGATTTTTCTTCTTCATCGATTTAAAAAGGTGATTGAATGGATATTTTTTTCATCTGTAGAAAACCGCTTTTTTATATATTTTTTCTATCAGGTTTGATGCATTTCATCTGAAACATAAAATCTATCTTCAAAGGTGCTGTGTCGGAGATTCCTACTTTTGTGGTTAGTCCATGTATTGGGTTTCCTGGAGAGAAGTGGGACGTATTGTGGAGGTAGTGTGATCACAGAGCGTGTCACAGTAACTTGGTGTAGGAAGGCAATCCCCACACATACTTCCTATAACCTGCTAATTACTCTAATAGATATCATTCAACCGTATAGACACATTAACACCAGAATCTGCTAGACAAATCCTGGTGGCAGCCATTAGATATGTCACCTGTAGTCACTAGACACATATTACCTGTAGTCACTAGACACATCCTACCTGTAGTCACTAGACACATCCTACCTGTGGTCACTAGACACATCCTACCTGTAGTCACTAGACACATATTTACCTGTAGTCACTAGAGACATATGCCTGTAGTCACTAGACACATATGTACCTGTAGTCACTAGACACATATTACCTGTAGTCACTAGACACATATTTACCTGTAGTCACTAGAGACATATTGCCTGTAGTCACTAGACACATATGTACCTGTAGTCACTAGACACATATTACCTGTAGTCACTAGACACATATTACCTGTAGTCACTAGACACATATTACCTGTAGTCACTAGACACATATTGCCTGTAGTCACTAGACACTATTACCTGTAGCAACTATGTCACACCTGTTGAATAATCTGTTGTACCTATCCCCTTAACTCTGACCCTACCACTTCCATTTTCTTCTACACTTATTCCCTCATCTTCAAACTTTACAAGTACTAGTTTGAACTTCTGATGTGCAACGTAATGGTTAAATTGACCAGCTTTAAAGACTGGTGTGGCTCCTCTGTAATCTGTAAAAGGACAAGTGTTAGTCTAGTGACTGGACAGTTTGTTTTACCTGAAACTCACACAGCTAGCTCATTGTCTTTTGATTTTGTTATGACATATTCAAGGGGTGAAGAACGTTAGTGAGTGAAACCCCTAGAATTTCAAGGTTGTTGTCCCCTTGACTATGATCTACCCATGTTGGATGTTCCTTTGTGCTTTCCTTTGACCTTGACCTCTACTGATGCATTGTTCCTGTGCCTTTCCCTTTTACCTTGACCTCTACTGACGCATTGTTCCTGTGCCTTTCCCTTTGCCCTGGTCTACCCCTGATGGATGTCCCTGTGCCTTTCCCTTTGCCCTTGACCTCTACTGATGCATTGTTCCTGTGCCTTTCCCTTTGACCTTGACCTCTCCTGATGGATGTCTCTGTGCCTTTCCCTTTGACCTTGACCTCTCCTGATGCATTGTTCCTGTGCCTTTCCCTTTGACCCCACCTGTCAGAGGTTCCTCTGTGTTTATCTCTATGACCCTGACCTACCAGTTTAGTGTTCCCACATGCCTTTCTCCTTGACCCTGACCTCTCCTGTTGGAGGTTCCCACATGCCTGCTGAAATGTCAATGTGTGTTGATCTCCTTGACACCCACTTACCTGTTGGATCTTTCCCTGTGCCTATCTTCTTGATTTGATCTGGGCTGTATCCCAACTGTGTAAGCCGGAGATTCACATATTCTGTCAGGTAGTTAAGTTCATCATCTGTCAGGTTCTCTGGGCGAATTTGACCTGTTCAATAAAATAGTAACATTTACAATTTTTTTTTATCAACAAACAGTAAAAACACTGTAAGATATTCCTCAAGATTGCAATCTCACATCATCATCAGGAAGTCATACCATCAGGGAGACTCACATCTCCAACAGAAATAGAGAGACAGAAAGACAGACAAAAACAAACAGAGAGACAAAAAGACAGACAAAAACAGACAAAAAGTCTAACAACTCAAAAAATAATCCTTCATAATTTGAGATGGATACCATTGCAGATATTCACACTATCCTAGGAAAACTACATCACAAAAACTCATACTATCAAACCATCAGACCAATGCACACCATCAGACCAATGCACACCATCAGATACAGACTTGCATCCTCACCGAGACTCATTTAGCAAAGTGACATACAGAGTTGATGACCAGCGCAAAGACTCGCAACATCAGACTAACATCATCAGACTCACAAAATCACCTCATCAGACTCACACAATTACAGAAAATATATGACTCACTATTGATGACTCTCACCATCAGTGACTCACACCATCAGATATCTATACGATCACAGAGACTATCACCATTATCAAGATTCACACCATCATCAGTGACTCACACTATCACAGACTCACTATCAATGATGACTCAAACCATCAGATATCTATACGATCACAGAGACTATCACCATTATCAACATTCCCTCCATCATCAGTTAATCACACTATCACAGACTCACTATCAATGATGACTCACACTATCACAGACTCACTATCAATGATGACTCACACTATAAGATATCTATACGATCAGTGACTCACACCATCACAAAGACTCATACTGTCAATGACTCGCACAATGAGATAATCATACTATCAAAGCGACTCGCACCATAACAGATACTTGATCACACCATCAAAGTGACTCACAAACTATCAGTGACTCACACTCTCACAAACACTCACATCATCAGCCAATCACACTCTCACAAAAACTTATATCATTAACATATATAAAGTTTCACAACACTATAAACTTAAAGAGGACAAAGTAAATTCTTTTCCTGTTTCATTCATTTTCTACTATATGAAGTTATATGATTTACAAAATCAGCTTATGTAAAAAATACTTGTTACTTTATTAGCCTGTTTTATTGAAATCACCTAGTCATTCTGGTATATACATTCAGCATGCAACCTGAACTATTCAGAACCGATCAGCTAACAGTGCAGTATACATGTGTGAAATTACCTGAATATTACTGCCAACACAAATTGTTGTGTCTGTCAACATTTTAAAACAAGGACCTGGTCATTAATTTGGATATATTCAACATTTTATCTAACTGTACCAAATTTGACAGTAAGCTTACTGTAGTAGCATTTGTCGTTCAGACAAGGAGTGATGGTGTTGTGTTACCTTCACACTGGGACGGACAGTACAGAGCACAATCAGGCTCCTATAAATCTTATCAGCAATTCCCGTAGGACATCCCGCCAAATTATGCCAATAAATGTTAGCCATTACTGTGAATTCTCTGCCCTTCATCGTTAATCACGCTAGCTCCATGTTAGTGATAAAACACACCATTTCTTCATGCTCAATGCTTGAATTAACGGTCTTAGCTTTCACAGTACAATACTGTGTCCCTCTAATTTGTCAACCATTGTCGGTAGCTAGGCATCATTGTCACGGCTGCAATGATGAGTCCACAAAACTAAGAGCATTACCAGAACTACATGCTGTTTTAGTGCCACCAAAGAAAAGCAAGCAAGAATTTGTTTGAATTGGATGTTTCCCCGGAAACGGAGCACGGAGAACTCCAGCAGGGCTGCCATTAAGGCTACTTCTTGCCATTCAGTGTACACTGTAACACTGACACCAGCGTATGCCTAATTTAAATGTATAGAATAATTAAATTTGAACTGCTGGCATCTTAAGTGCTAAATTGAAATAAAAGTGTCACATTCTTTAAGACAAATGTATTGTTCGTGGAAATTCTGACCTACACAGAGAGGAACATTACAACTGTACAATAAAACTTCTGGTCATCCTCCGTTTCACCCTGTCTACATCAATAGTGCCTCAGAGCAATCGAGTTTCCCACAACATTCTTCTCCAAACACACGCTATTCCTGTACACTTTAGCAACACATTATTATTTTTGCATACTTCTAGCAATCCTTGGCCTAATGCAACAAAGCTGTGCGATAAAGCTTAATAACGGGTTGGTAAGTAAAACATTTAATACAAACTGAGATCTGTTAATTCTTAAAAATCAACTGAAATTTTCCAAATTAAAAGCATTTCAAAGATTGAGATATAGGATTATACTCATTTCCAATTGTTCCAATTCTAACTCCAACAGGTTTTGTTATACATCTTTTAGTTTGTACTTGTCTTTTAGTTACGATCAGATTTGTTGACATAAAATTGATTGGTTTTATAGAGCTTAATATAATACTTCAAACATCGGAAACTTTATAATGTAAAATTGACCAAATAAATATAACAAAGATTCATGGTATTGCTCACCCGGATATTTAAGTTATCATAACTAAATATTTTTGTAACAAGAAATCCATTTCCTCTTTTCTGGGCTCAGCCTCTCAGTAACCAGAGAAAATAAACATCCTTTCTTTATACGCCATTTTACTTTCTGGTTCCCAGGAATTCAAATATGATCAGGTTTTCAGTAGGATTAAGATTTCTAAGATACAAATATCTAAATGACCCTCATTTGGTATTGAATTCTGAGGGTATCATTTTCTTGCCCAAGTCCAAGGACATATGCCTAATAGGAAATTTGGTTGAAATATATATAAATGTATACTAGTTTAAGAGAAAAGAAAAGAAAGAAGACCAATTATCAACCTATCGGTAAGGTCTGGCCCAATATTGTCTCCCCTAGCTTACACTACTTACCCATCATCAGCTTTGATAGAAGGTCAGCATATTTGTCAGGCAGACCAATATCTGGATCAGATTCTGTCATCAATGCTGGCTCATCTGTTAATATATACATTACGACAGAGTTCAAAGCCATTGATTTTGTAATTACTCACTTCTTCATTTCCCTTCCTTGATTTTACAGTAAAAGATTTTAAATGGAAGAAGCAACTAAAAGCCAATAGGGCTATAGCTCACTGTTTATTAATTTTTTTGTTGATTCACTTTTTTATCTATTTTTTAGATCTGTATATATGTGTACCTGATTGTAAGGTAGGGATCTTCAACATTTCCATCGTAACTGTTTTGATGTTGTGGCCCTTTGACAGATTTAACCTAAAATTTTACCCTGAGATTCTTCAAATGAAACTTTCAGAATTTTCATTCTAAACCACAAAATCAATATATAAATGTGATAAAATAAGATCTTTCAGAATACCATGACAATAACAAAATATCAGTTTTAATTTTCAAATTTCTTGGAGGTATCTGTTAATTCAAGCTAAGCCAATCTATACAAACCATTTACAGCTGCCGGTGTCTTATCTGTTGATGACCATTCGTAAGGGTTGTCTCCCTTTGTTTCCGATCCCGTTTGATCCCAGGTGGGCTGTGATTCTTCCCAGTCCTGTGGAGTCTCACTGTTGTATTGGTCAGCCGAATACACTTCATTATCAACAGGCAGAGCATCTTGGTAATATCCTGACACCTGGGCATCACCGTCATTAGGAACGGCCTGGTTCAAATCTGAATAAACTTGGTTGTCTGGGAAATCCTGGGCATCAGCACGTAATTGTTGCAGATAATATTGCAACTGCTGAATATCCTCCGGACTGAGGCCATAGCTATCTCTCTTGTCTGCCTCATAAATAGATGGTTCCAGTTCTCCAGTTCCTGAGAGGTAGTTTAAATAATTTTCCCTATCTTCATTAGAAAATTCCCTTTTAAGATATGGTTGTGGATCCTTGTCAAAATATTTATGTACTTTAATGATTTCATCCCGCTTGTCCGCATTTTTACTTAGTAATAAGCTGTCCCCCTGTGGTTCATAAGCATTATAATAATCCTGAAATAATTTTTCCAAGGCAGCGGAAATTTCTGACTTTACATCATAATCTTGCTGTTCCGTCCATGAAGCCTCGTCTTTTTGACATTTACTAGGGTGAAATGTTTTATGTTTCCTGAAGGCGTATAGAGCATTTTGTATTATACACTGGGCGAGTTGGTCGTGCCAGGAGTAGCCTCCCTTTATGAGGCTGTATATCTGGTCCCGAAGAGATCCGATGGACTTCTGGCTGAGCTGGTACTGGAAGGGCTTACGTTGGATCCGGTCCACTCGCTGGCAGTTTCCAAAGAGTAAATCTGAAACACAAAACAAACATTCAATTATTGGGTCTAGTGTGTATTTGGAATTTCTATTCCTAAAATTCTCTGTAACTATTAGTATGTATTAGTTAGTACAGTACCATTCAATGTTGTTATGAACAATAAAGAAAGCAATGTACCATAAAATGGGCATTTTGCTATCAAGAATAGGAGGTATTTCTCTTGCAATTAACAGTAGTTTTAAGTTTAAAGTTTGATCATGTACTGTACTTTACTTTGCTTTGATGGTAAACCATACTCTGTTGTACTGATGTACCCTAGGTACTCTGTCGTACTGATGTACCCTAGGGTACTCTGTTGTACTGATGTACCCAAGGTACTCTGTTGTACTGATGTACCCTAGGTACTCTGTACCCTAGCTACTCTGTTGTACTGATGTACCCTAGGTACTCTGTACCCTAGCTTCTCTGTCTAGTGATGTACCCTAGGTACTCTGTTGTACTGATGACCCCTAGGTACTCTGTTGTACTGATGTACCCAAGGTACTCTGTTGTACTGATGTACCCTAGCTACTCTGTCGTACTGATGTCCCCTAGCTACTCTGTCGTACTGATGTACCCTAGTTACTCTGTCGTACTGATGTACCCTAGCTACTCTGTCGTACTGATGTCCCCTAGGTACTCTGTCGTACTGATGTACCCTAGGTACTCTGTACCCTAGGTACTATGTCGTACTTTAACAGTAGTTTTAAGTTTAAAGTTTGATCATGTACTGTACTTTACTGTGCTTTGATGGTAAACCATACTCTGTTGTACTGATTTACCCTAGGTACTCTGTCGTACTGATGTACCCTAGGGTACTCTGTTGTACTGATGTACCCAAGGTACTCTGTTGTACTGATGTACCCTAGGTACCCTGTCGTACTGATGTACCCTAGGTACTCTGTCGTACTACTGTACTTTACTTTGCTTTGATGGTAAACCATACTCTGTTGTACTGATGTACCCTAGGTACTCTGTCGTACTGATGTGCCCTAGGTACTCTGTACCCTAGGTACTATGTCGTACTGATGTACCCTAGGTACTCTGTTGTATTGATGTACCCTAGGTACTCTGTTGTATTGATGTACCCTAGGTACTCTGTTGTATTGATGTACCCTCGGTACTCTGTTGTACTGATGTACCCTAGGTACTCTGTACCCTAGGTACTATGTCGTACTGATGTACCCTAGGTACTCTGTTGTACCGATGTACCCTAGCTACTCTGTCGTACTGATGTCCCCTAGCTACTCTGTCGTACTGATGTACCCTAGGTACTTTTTCGTACTGATGTGCCCTAGGTACTCTGTCGTACTGATGTACCCTAGATACTCTGTCGTACTGATGTACCCTAGGTACTTTTTCGTACTGATGTGCCCTAGGTACTCTGTCGTACTGATGTACCCTAGGTACTTTGTCGTACTGATGTACCCTAGGTACTCTGTCGTACTGAGGTACCCTAGGTACTCTGTTGTACTGATGTACCAGGTACTCTGTCGTTCTGATGTCCCCTAGGTACTCTGTCGTACTGATGTACCCTAGATACTCTGTCGTACTGATGTACCCTAGGTACTCTGTACCCTAGGTACTCTGTTCCCTAGCTACTCTGTTGTACTGATGTACCCTAGGTACTCTGTTGTATTGATGTACCCTAGGTACTCTGTTGTATTGATGTACCCTAGGTACTCTGTTGTACTGATGACCCCTAGGTACTCTGTTGTACTGATGTACCCTAGATACTCTGTTGTACTGATGTACCCTAGGTACTCTGTTGTATTGATGTACCCTAGGTACTCTGTTGTATTGATGTACCCTAGGTACTCTGTTGTACTGATGACCCCTAGGTACTCTGTTGTACTGATGTACCCTAGATACTCTGTTGTACTGATGTACCCTAGGTACTCTGTCGTACTGAGGTACCCTAGGTACTCTGTTGTACTGATGTACCCTAGGTACTCTGTACCCTAGCTTCTCTGTCTAGTGATGTACCCTAGGTACTCTGTTGTACTGATATACCCTAGGTACTCTGTTGTACTGATGTACCAGGTACTCTGTCGTTCTGATGTCCCCTAGGTACTCTGTCGTACTGATGTACCCTAGGGTACTCTGTTGTACTGATGTACCCAAGGTACTCTGTTGTACTGATGTACCCTAGCTACTCTGTCGTACTGATGTACCCTAGCTACTCTGTACCCTAGCTACTCTGTACCCTTGCTACTCTGTACCCTTGCTACTCTGTACCCTAGGTACTCTGTTGTACTGATGTACCCTAGCTACTCTGTACCCTAGCTACTCTGTCGTACTGATGTACCCTAGCTACTCTGTACCCTAGCTGCTCTGTCGTACTGATGTACCCTAGGTACTCTGTACCCTAGGTACTCTGTACCCTAGGTACTCTGTCGTACTGATGTACCCTAGGTACTCTGTTGTACTGATGTACCCTAGGTACTCTGTACCCTAGCTACTCTGTCGTACTGATGTACCCTAGCTACTCTGTTGTACTGATGTACCCTAGCCACTCTGTCGTACTGATGTACCCTAGGTACTCTGTCGTACTTATGTACCCTAGCTACTCTGTCGTACTGATGTACCCTAGCTACTCTGTACCCTAGCTACTCTGTCATACTGATGTACCCTAGCTACACTGTACCCTTTACCTAATTGTGAAAAAAGATATCAATCTTTCACGAAAAAGGTGAAAAATCTCATTCAAAAAAGACAAAAACAAATTCAAAGAAAAGATATCTAGTACTTTATTCAAATCAAACAATGTGTGCATTGGTTGAATATGAACATAAGCAGTGTGCACAGTATAGTATAGTACACCAGATACACACAACTTCTATACAATATATACGGGTATATCAGTATAGTATAAACTTACACTAGATACACACAACTTCTATACAATATAAACAGGTATATCAGTATAGTATAAACTTCCACCAGATACACAAATTCTATACAATATATACAGGTATATCTGTATAGTATAAACTTACACTAGATACACACAACTTCTATACAATATATACAGGCGTATCAGTATAGTATAAACTTCCACCAGATACACAAATTCTATACAATATATACAGGTATATTAGTATAGTATAAACTTACACTAGATACACACAACTTCTATACAATATATACAGGCGTATCAGTATAGTATAAACTTCCACCAGATACACAAATTCTATACAATATATACAGGTATATCTGTATAGTATAAACTTACACTAGATACCCACAACTTCTATACAATATATACAGGCGTATCAGTATAGTATAAACTTCCACCAGATACACAAATTCTATACAATATATACAGGTATATCTGTATAGTATAAACTTACACTAGATACACACAACTTCTATACAATATAAACAGGTATATCAGTATAGCATAAACTTACACCAGATACACAACTTCTATACAATATATACAGGCGTATCAGTATAGTATAAACTTCCACCAGATACACAAATTCTATACAATATATACAGGTATATTAGTATAGTATAAACTTACACTAGATACCCACAACTTCTATACAATATATACAGGTATATTAGTATAGTATAAACTTACACTAGATACACACAACTTCTATACAATATAAACAGGTATATCAGTATAGTATAAACTTGCACCAGATACACAACTTCTATACAATATATACAGGTATATTAGTATAGTATAAACTTACACTAGATACACACAACTTCTATACAATATAAACAGGTATATCAGTATAGTATAAACTTGCACCAGATACACAACTTCTATACAATATATACAGGCGTATCAGTATAGTATAAACTTCCACCAGATACACAAATTCTATACAATATATACAGGTATATCAGTCTAGTATAAACTTACACCAGATACACAACTTCTATACAATATATACAGGTGTATCAGTATAGTATAAACTTCCACCAGATACACAAATTCTATACAATATATACAGGTATATTAGTATAGTATAAACTTACACTAGATACCCACAACTTCTATACAATATATACAGGCGTATCAGTATAGTATAAACTTCCACCAGATACACAAATTCTATACAATATATACAGGTATATCAGTCTAGTATAAACTTACACCAGATACACAACTTCTATACAATATATACAGGTATATCAGTTTAGTCCGTAGTTTTAAGTCATACTAATGTCAAGTTAAATTACCAAAGATTTCTGGCACAGTGCATATATTCATTTTCAGTTTTACAATAGATTGGGTTGTATTAAAAAAAATAGCAATTTTCATTTAAACAATGCTTCCTAGGTCCAAAAATAGAATTGTTTAAATGAACAACGGATATATATATACATCTTCAGTAAGAACAATGGATATATATATCTATATCTTCAGTAAGAACAACGGATATATATATATAGAGAGAGTAAGAACAACAGGTATATATATATATATATAGAATAAAAACAAATTTTTCAGATCGTCCGCTAGGCCTTTCTGCCTTATAGGGCTTCTAGGGCTTCTTCAGGTGGAATGAAGAATGAAGGACTTATTTATTTATTATCTACTATATATATATATATATCTGGCGGACGATCTGAAAAATGTGTTTTTATTCTATATATATATATATATTCAGTAAGGAAACCTCTGTCCAAGGGTTATCTTGTAGGTATTGTTTTTACTGTTTCACACTAAACAACCTTAATTAAACAATCGTCACCTCTGTAGGCAGTTTTAAACTTTTGACTTCACTATCTGCCTCCCCAAATCTGCCCACAACTAAACTAGCCACCAACTAGATCTCTCCAGTAGCTAACAGAACTTGCCACCCCCTAAACATCACCTACACCACCTCTGGAGAATCTAGCCAAAACCTCGTCTCCAGTGTCAGTTGAGTTGTGACCTACGAGACAACCAGTTCATTAGCAACACTGAGACAATACATCATCTGACAGGTCTCCATTTGTAAATACAAATTATTACTTGTAAGTCGCTGT